ATAATGTAGAGTCTGCAGAACACCACATAATATGGATGAACTTGGAGGACATTATGCTGATTGAAATAAATCAATCACAGAAGGACAAAGATAGTATTAGTTCGTTGTTGTGGAAGGTCAAGGGAAGGTTTATTTTCAATCTGTAAGTAGTTACTAATAGTAAGATGTTTTCCATTCTTTTTTTTTTCTTTTCACTAAATCTTCAAAGTCTAGTATGTATTTTATATACGTCTCTGACTAGCCATATTTCAAATTCTTAATACCCACATGTGTAGCCCTAAAACATATAAAATCAAAAATGCCTTGATTTCTGGCCAGTTGCTGATACAAAACCTTTGTAATGCAATATATTTTCATTGTTGCAAGTGACTGGATTGTAATTGCTTTTCTGTAAACTCTAAGAGAGTACAAACCTTATCTCAGTTGTTATATATATTGAGAGAATATTTTCTGCATGATGATTTTGGAAGATAGTATAGTGATTGAGAGCTTGTGTTTGAATCTTGGTTCTGCCACCTCCATTTTCTGATACTTAAACAAGTTGTTTCATTTTATTTAACCTGTTGGCTAGGATTTCTGGTGGTGCAGGGCTTAAAGCACTCAGCAGCTAACCAAAAGGTTGGCAGTTCCAACCCTCCAGCTACTCTGCAGGATAAAGAGGAGACAGTCTGCCTCTTTAAAGATTTACAGCCTTGGAAACCTATGGGGTAATTCTGCTCTGTCCTGTAGGGTTATATGAATCAGAACTGATACAGTGGCAGTGGGTTTTTGTTGTTGTTGTTGTTTTTAACCTGTTGCTTATATTTGAATTGGAAACAGTAATAGTAACTCTCTCCTAAGGTTGTACGTATGTATAAAGCATTTAGTGAATGTCATGGTATTAGAAACCAGGCCTGTTACTGTTGAAAAATAGGTAATTTTTTAACCATCTGCCTCTTAAATTTAGATTCTCCTACAAGTGATTTTAACTACCCCAGGAAGAAGCAGATGATTCTTCTGTAGGTCCATAAAGTGTTTGGTAATTGAAAGAATTATCTTTCGAGTTTTCAAATATGACCCTCACTTACCTCTGGCTTACAGAGAACAAATGAAAATTGTGCATTTTTTTGGCTGAATATTTAATATTTTTTAACTTAATTATCTTTAGGGAAGAAGCATTTCTAAACCATAATATGTCTAATATTTTGCTTTTCATTCACTAGGCAATTATAGAAATCGTCTTGAGGAACCAATGTTTGTGCTTGGTGGCCCTTCCTTTCTGCTCT